ATAGGCATGGCAAACTGCTTGGTCGTGAATAGTAATTTCACGTCTAATGTGTTTCGCGAATCTTTTCCCCACATAAGAAAGGTTCCTCAAGTTCTTTATCCTGGAATACATTTTGAAGCATATGATAAAAAAGTAGATGTTGATGATATCAATATTAAGATTTTAGAAAGGTAATTTCATAAATTTTTATTATAATTTCCTTGATATATATTAAAACTATTAAACTATTATAATTATATTCGGATTTTAGTTCGAAAATGACAATTTTATCAATTAATCGTTTTGAAAGAAAAAAAAATATTGTGCTTGCCATACGTGCTTTTGCAAGGTTACGAGATGATAATATGATATCAGAGGAACAATTCCTCAACATGCGTTTGATCATTGCCGGTAAATGTATACTTATTATTATTATTATTTTTTTTTTGTATGTAATCTTTTAATAAAAAATTATATATTTATTTATTCAATTTCGTCTTTACTAGGTGGATATGATCATCGTGTGCAAGAGAATGTGGATCACCATAAAGAGTTGGATCGTGTGGCTTTACGATTAGAACTCCAAACTTTTACAATTATGCCTGGTTCGACAAAATATCCACCAGAATCAGCGCAAGTAATATTTTTATGTTCTTTTAATGAAGCGCAAAGGACATATCTTTTATCAAAATCACATTGTCTTTTATACACTCCATCAAATGAACATTTTGGAATTGTGCCCATAGAGGCTATGTATGCTCGTTTACCTGTGATCGCATGTAAGAGTGGTGGGCCAAGAGAAACTATTCAAAATGATATAACGGGTGTTTTATGTTCGCCTACGCCTTTAGAGTTTTCAGAGGCAATTGCTGAATTTATTTCGGGTAAACATGATCGAAAAGTTATGGGCGAACGTGGGAGAGAGCACGCACAAAAAAATTTTTCTCTAACCAAATTTGTCAATTCACTTGAGCTTATTTTAATGAAGTTAGTACAAGACTCTCCGAGGCCAAAACCATTACAGGGTCCTTTGATATGGTTTTCTACCGCTATCACTTTATTTGTACTTTTAATATATCAATATAGTTATTAAATTTAGCTACTATAGCGATAGTATTGTTATTAAAAACCAGCCTATTATATAAATTATATAAATATAGTTACTTTCCAATGGTGAAAAATCTAATATAAACAGGGAGAATTTTTAACTTCTTTTGCAGAACATTCAAATTATGTTTTTTTTTTTTTAGTTATATATATAATTATTTAAAAAATTCTAACTCGTTTTTATATAATTAAATATTAAAATTTGAGCAAATTTACTATCAGATAAATTTCTGGAATAATTGAAAATTGTCAATGACCGAATCGATAAGTTTTGATGCCGGTCGATGTCGGTAACTTTTAATTCCGACTCGGTAATTTCATTGGAAAAATTTTTTCAGTTACAAAATTTATGAAAACAGCTGTAAATTTTCAAATTTTAGGTTATGAAAACCAATTAATTAAATTTGCCTGCTTTACAAATTAAATGATAATATCTTTTATAAACCAATTTTAATTAGATGTCTTATATTGTCCATATTATATAAAATTAATGTAAACTAGACAATTGCAGATGTAACTATCTAAACTCATTTAATAGTATACACACTAGTTTTTTTATTAACAATTGTATGTGCATTATATTCATCCTGATGAGACTATTCTTCTAAAAAAAAATTTTTAAGGATCAGACACGTAACGATCGAGGATCTGTCGTTTCCTCCTTCGCACTAAATACTCTTCCACTTCTTTTTGGGTTGGTACAGCTACATGTGCAACAAACTTTTCTGATAATCGATCGATATCAATTGCTCCACTTTCTGATTGTGATGTATCCTCTTTTTTCTTTTGCGTGAATTTATCTTTAGGTAATGTTTTATCTGGTAATTCTGATGCTTCTGCTATAACTAAAGTTCAAAAAATATATGTAAATTCAGCTTATTTGCTAATTAGCCTAAATTTTGTCACCATATAATTACAATAATATAATAGTTACTTTTAAGCTCTTGCTCTTGTTCATATTCGAGCAGTGATCCATCTTCTTCGTCTCTGTATCCATAATAGTCTGCATCAACATTCTTATATAGGTCAGACCTTGTACGTTTTTGCGGTGTAGGAACTATATTATTGTTGTCAGTAATAGGCTTTGTTGCCCGAGAAATATAACTGGCCAGATTATAGAGTAAGCGTACAAATTTTAAGCAGATATAAAACTTAAAAGATGCTTTTAGAGTTTTCAGAGGCAATTGCTGAATTTATTTCGGGTAAACATGATCGAAAAGTTATGGGCGAACGTGGGAGAG